AGATTTTTTCTAAGCAAATAATACAAATAAATAATTGTGGGCTCTAACTGGTATCCCAAGACCAAATACCCCAGAACTGTCAGAAAATTGGTTTGGATTCAGATCTGTGATCTGGATTTCCTGGATGTGGTTGGGTCCCTAGAGATGGTTGTGCCAAGTCTATAAAATAAGAACTGACCAATAAGCCAAAGTGAGCCTCAAAGTCCCTCAGAAGCAAATAATACAAATAAATAATTGTGGGCTCTAACTGGTATCCCAAGACCAAATACCCCAGAACTGTCAGAAAATTGGTTTGGATTCAGATCTGTGATCTGGATTTCCTGGATGTGGTTGGGTCCCTAGAGATGGTTGTGCCAAGTCTATAAAATAAGAACTGACCAATAAGCCAAAGTGAGCCTCAAAGTCCCTCAGACTCACCTAGGCCTAGCATATATTCATGGGGCACCAAGTATACAGATGGATTCCAAAGTGTTTCATAGACTATATATAAAGATATTCCCCATTACTGAAATGTGGCCACTTCTGGGGTGGAACAAAGCAACTTTACGCCTCTATAGTAAATCATCAGTTCTAATCCACTGTAGGTGAGAGCATTGTTTCACAACTGGAGGGGCAAGACCCTCTAGGAGGGATCACAAGTAGTCTAGGGGACAGGAGACAGAAGAGAACACTGGTGGTAGAGAAAGTAGTTTGACTCCTGATCTACCATTCCCAGAGTAAATATGTTCCCACAACCATGAAGTAATATGAAGACTGGCTTCTGGAAAGCCAGTCCTGTTCCCTCTACTCCCATAGTAACCCCTAATATAGAGGACCACAGGAGTGTTCGCTTGTACAGAGCTGCAGGCTCAGGAAACAGGCTGCAAACCTAAGCTACTCTCCTCTGCTCTTGTGACACTCAGCTGAGCTGTAATATATGCAGCCTGCCACCAGTGACAGCTCCCACCTCAAGCAGCTTTGACCACCTGCTAAGTGGGGTGCAGGAGGGAGTGCCCCCAAAACTGTCACCATGCCCAGAGGAAGAGCAAAAAGAGTCTGGAAGGAAAGAACAGGCAAGAGAAAATGGACAGAAAAAGATGGTCTAGTAGCAGCAGCTGAGCATAGTCATAAGGGTCAGGGGGCCCATCTTTCTGGAGAGAATCATCCAGTAAGAGCTTGGGAGGTGTTAAGGGACTGGATGATTTCTTGGGGATCAGTGATGTACCATGGAAAGCTTCAGCCGTACATCACTGTTTTAACTCTGACTCAGTGCAGGACTGGCTGCTCCACTGTGACATACCAGGGTACAGTCTGGATCAGGGCGGGGCCGTCAGCTCTGCCTTGTAATCTGGGGTGCCTTACCATGCCTTGCGATACTCGCAAATAGCCTTCCACATGCAATCCACCCTGTCCCCAAGTGTCTGTGTGTAACTGAAGCCTGCCAGCCACACCTTGGCTCTCACCAGCCTGGGTTATACTGCAGGGTGACCCCAACACACCCCAGTCCTGCATTTCCCCCCACAAGCCCTCTCCAGGATAGTACATATATATTAAGTCAATTATTCCTTTAAAAGAGAATTGCTGGGTTTGTTACCTACTGACACCTCTCTGATGGCCTCCATTAAATGAACCGTGAGTCTCATCCAGCCATCACAAATAGCAAGGACTGGCTTCTTTATTGGCGGTCTTAGCAAGGAAGCAAAAGGCTGGAAAGGACCATGGATCCTGACCTCCCCTCTTGTCCTTACACAGCGAATGATTCCCTTAGACTGGGTGGGACAGCACGTATGTGGAAAGCAGTCCCATTCTGTCCTGCAGATAACAATTTGGCTACCCTCTCTAGGGCTGATGATCTGATGCCTCTCTTATATGCTCTGTGCATGGTTTCAGAAATTTAGATATGACACTTACCCAGCTTTTTGGCAAGTTTTGCATCTTTCTTGGAATCCACAAACCCAAAGCCGATACCTTTAGGTTCCAGGACTTGGGCAGCAAGCTGTAGGAGAATCCAGACATAAGCATAAATTACATGAACATTGGCCACCCAAATACCCCGAGAGGACCTGCTTCAATACCAACGCTGTGACTGAACACACCTAGCTGGTACCTACCACCCCACACTAAAGCCCCTATGGCATATCATCAAATAAGTATGACCCATACTAGATGGGGATCCCATCCTGAAAGAAATCTTCCCTGAACCTCCTCTTGTGGCCTTCAGACAATGCCCCAACCTCATCATCAGAAGCAAGCTCTCCAGAGACCAGAACACACCAACACAAAGTGGCACCAGCCCCTGCTAGAAGAACCAATATAAAACCTGCCAATGTTATCTGCACCACTGCCACGATCAACACCCTCCACAACTTACCTTTCAAGCTCCAATAGTCCTACACATGTGGGGGATCTTGGGCAGTGCACTAAATGGTCCAATAACAAGTATGTGGGTGAAATGAGACAATTCCTATGCTCTTGATGAACTCTCACAGGAAAAATGGCAAAAGACAAAAACACTTGGTCTCTTGTGGCTGGACGCTTTTCACAGAGCGATCACTCTGCGTCTGACCCATCAGTCCTCATCTTCAAAGGAAACCTGCACAGCACCTTCAACATTTGAGCCTGGGAACTTAAATTCGTAATTCTGCTAGGCACAAAAATTATGGACTGAATGGAGTCACTGGATTTATGGCTTATTACAACAACCTGTAACCCACTAATCCCACCTTTTGTCCTATGACTCCAGGGCACTTCACTTTGAATGGTCCCTTGGAATATGTGCAAACTACTTATGCTAAATAGTCCGTTCAGTCTTGTATTTAGCTGTAACAATCTAATCCTCTTCTCCAGGCAGAAGGAAGAGCTCTGTGCAGCTGGAAAGTTTATCTCTGTCACCTGCAAAAGCTGGTCCAATAAAAGATATTACCTCACCCGCTTTGTCTCTCTAATGAACACCACAAGGCCATTAAAAGTCATTGTGGCCAACCAGGATGGTACGATAGTGACGGGTGACCCATTCTGCTTTCTGAGCAGAATTGATTGGCGGATCATATCACATGCCATTTGTTGGCTGACGTATGCTACCCATAGGTCACAGTGCCCGGATTTCATCCCACTCGCTTACAGAGCCGGGTTGGCTTAAGATAGTACGCGCTGCTCACCACTCTCAGATATGCAGGTGTTGGGAGAAGGCTCGCAGCTGAAATCAGGGACAGATGGGAATCCACTTATTTTAACCCATAGATTTCTACCCACGGTAAGCCCAAAATCTGAAAACTCGGGGGTCAATCTTATTGCAAAGACAAACTGTGCCCACGTCATTGCCTTTCTGAAGACACAAGCAGGGAAAACAGAGATGCAGAAAGATGAAATGACTTGCCTAAGGTCACACAGGAAGCAGAGGCAGGGCAGGGTAGAAGCCTGAAATGCGGGCCAGTGCCTTATCTACTAGAGTAGCCTGTACATCGGTCTGCAGCTGTATCTCTTGCTGCTTCACTTGGTCACTAGGTTTTCCCTGTCTCCCTCCACTCTCTGTCCCCCTGTCACTGTCCTCAATGAGCCCAGCAGTGTTTCGAGCAACCACACTCCAGCCACTTGGGAAAGTCATGGCTGCTGAGGGAAGCAGAGAGCTATGTCAGTCGGGCTGTTTCAATTAACTACAGAAACCAGCTGGGTACCAGCTACAAGGCAAACAAAATCCCAGTACAAAATGACTGAGGTAGCACAGGAAATGGCTCCCAAGCACAGCCTGCTTCACTTCATTCAGTCCCATCCAGTCCCTGGTCCCAAGTGACAAGCCTTGTTGACTGCCAGTCACACAGGATGTTCCAGACCTTACCGGTCCTGTAAGGCCACAAAGCTGGAATGCCCTGAGCCAGGAGAATACCTCTGGGCTGTGTCTAGACTGGCAAGTTTTTCCGCAAAATCAGATGATTTGGCGGAAAAACTTGCCAGCTGACTACACTGGCCACTTGAATTTCCGCAAGAACACTGATGATCTCATGTAAGATCGTCAGTGTTCTTGTGGAAATACTGTGCTGCTCCTGTTCGGGCAAAAGCCCTCTTGCACAAATCATTTGCGCAAGAGGGCTAGTGTAAACAGCACAGTATTGTTTTGCGCAAAAAAGCCCCAATCGCGGAAATGGTGATCGGGGCTTTTTTGCACAAAACCGCGTCTAGATTGGCCATGGACGCTTTTCCGCAAAAAGTGCTTTTGCAGAAAAGCATCCTGCTAATTTAGACGTGCTTTTCCGAAAATGCTTTTAACAGAAAACTTTTCCGTTAAAAGCATTTCCGGAAAATCATGCCAGTGTAGATGTAGCCCTGGTGCATGGGCCTCTTTGCCTCCACAAGAGGTACTGCTTCAGGGTGCATGTGGAGGGCAGATTGGGGAAGGGGAGGCAGAGAGTGTGCCGGGGCATTCCTACATCTCGGCTGCCACATAACCCCATGGCTTTTTTTTGATGTATGCTGGAATTTGAGGAACATGAAAATCTAATGCACAATGCCCCATGGTTTGTAGGAAATGGATGCCCCTGGTAGGGCAAGGTTGCCTTCCCTGCCTCTGGACACAAGACTAGACGAGAAAGTAGAGCTTCAGGCAGATTATGGCCTTATTTATGAGTGACACAGGCCCATTCCTGGGCCTAGCATCGTGGGCACCCTGTGTTCCCTACATCCCACCACCAGGCTGATTTGAATGTCACACAATAGCTCTGAGCTGCTGGGCCCATAGAAGTGCAGCCAGCTAACCTCCCTGTTATAAATAGCCTGTGTCTGAACCCATAGGTGACAGGAGATTAAGGAAGATAAATGCAAGCTATGGAATCTGAGTTTCTTGTTAAGGATGCACGGTTAAGTCACTGTCATTCATTGGAAGCGGTTCACCCCTTTGCTAAAATTTTAAGACAAAACGAGGGCATTTAATGGCTGGGCTGATAGAGGCTTTGCTTGGGCAATGGGAAATACAATTATTTGAGTTCTCTTCTTCCCTTTCAAAAATACATACTCCCAAGCCTGCACTCCGCTGTCTTAGTCTTATGCTCTCCTTTCTCCTGAAAAATATGATTACCGCCTCACCCTTACAGTCAGACTCCTCTTTGGACCAAAGGACATCCCCCATCTTAATGATGTGTCCCCAGGTCTGTCTCCCTCCTTCACACCCATGCTTCCCATTGCCCCAAAGGATATCTTCCCAGGCCTGCTCCAGTTTCTTCACCCAATCCCCACCTCTTCGTAGTCCATATAACTATTTGGATTTTATTTCCTCTTTAGTTAAACTTCCTAGGGTCTGTCATTGATGGGGGGCTGCTGCCATTTTGTGAGGCAGAGTTGATGCAGCATGTTACAAAGGAGACACACAATGGACTGTCTTTCATGAAGACTTTATTTTTGTTCTTTCTTCTTTTCCTTAGTTAACACAGATAGCAGGCTGAAAGTTTAGGTCTACTGTTTGTATCCAGAAAAATAGAATACAGAATACTCATATTTCTGATACATTCTGGAGTATACCATTAGAGTACTTAATTCTTATTTCCCTTATTCCACTGCCAGTTATACTGACTGAGAACACTGGTCTCACTAGCCAGCTGCCCCACCTCTGACCCTACTGGTCCATGTAAATCAGCATTAGGTGCTTGGTAATAGCCAATGCCTGATGACTCAGAGTAAACCTGCTTTTAAGGTGCCTAGATAGCTAAGCAGGGGTCTGTGGAGGCAGAAGAGAAATTGCTTCCCTTCATGTTATGAGGAGCTGCCTATCCAGGGAACCCCTTTGCTGAACACAGGACTGGAGTATGAGGTACCTGAGCAACACCCGGTTATGGTAAGCAGATTGCCACAGTGAGAACATTTGATAGACCGTTAACAGGCTCCTCAAGCCCTGAAGTCCAGCACTCAAGTCCCTGCCTGCACTGAGACCAGAGACGATCGCTGAGGTAAAATACGTTTGGCTCAAGAAACTAAGACTGTGGCTATTATCAGGCAAACACTCCTTTACCCCGCACACTGGAACCTGGGCAGGCGGGCATGAAGGTCTTGAAATGAGCTACAAAATGTGTACCCCGCTTGTGAGGTTTAAACACCTGCACATGGAAGGAGAGAGGGGTGAAGAAGGGATGGGTGAGTGAGGGCATTTGCGTGATGGGATTGTGAGCAGAAATGTATGAAGGTGAGCACTTGGGTATAAAAGAGGGTGGGTGCATGGGGTAAGTTTTTGTGCATTTTTGTGACTGTGAACACAGGTGGGTCAGGAAAGCACGTGTAGAAAAATGTCAGAAGTGGAGATCCTCTGTGGTAGGACAGTGAGTATGCATGTGTGCATGAGAGAACTAGTGTGGCACAGGTGGGTCAGGAAAGCACATGTAGAAAAATGTCAGAAGTGGAGAGCCTCTGTGGTAGGACAGTGAGTGTGCATGTGTGCATGAGAGAACTAGTGTGGGCACATGTGTATGTAGCATTTGTAAGAGAGAAAGTACAGTGTATGGCTGGAGGTGTGTATATGTGGTAGGAATGGTGCGTTCATCTAGATCTGTGTGTGTGTGTGTGTGTGTGTGGTCTAGATCTGTGTGTGTGTGTGTGAGAGAGAGAGAGAGAGAGAGAGAGTGGACGTGCCTCTCTCTCTGTGGGTATGTGTGATTGGAGGTGTTCCTGGGAGGGTATGCATGAATATGCCTGTTTGTGAGCCCTGAGCAGACAGCTCGGCTGGGATAGTCACACCGAAATCATGCTGTACGGCATGTGCCCGTGTGTGGCACTCCAGATTCCAGCAGGGGGGAATCTCTCAACAATGCCAGCTACACAGGAACTGACCAGCACGACTGCCCTTTTCCCTAACCCCTTCTGGATAGAAGAGTCTGATACATTGCCTGGGTATGGCTTTATCTGTGCTACTGCATTTGATCCACCGTCAAATATCAGAGCACAGAGACTGCCAGAGACACAGTCCTTTGGCTGGCTGCCCCTGATACTTTTATACAGTATCTGGCCTTGACGTATCCA